ATGTGGGGAGCAGATGCCACCCAACTGCAGATGGGCTCTGGTCATCACGGCAGAGTCCTTTTTTTTTTTTTTTTTGACTATGTCTCCCCTGCCCATTTTTTTTTTCTCTCTCCCTTTAAAGAAAGGAAATAGAAAAAGGTGTCAAGCATAGAGGAACACTCAAAAGAGACAAAACATTGACCTTGGAGGGCCAAGAACTGTTAAAAAATAATAAGATGAGACAGTCCTAGGGCTGTGGGAACTCGCGTTCCCTGAGGCCCCATTTGGAACGGGGGCGTCTCTACGCCAGAAATTTGAGCTCGAGATTACTATATTGTGATCTCATGATCAAACCTAACGAGACAAAGACGTGGCCAAGTGGTACTGCTTTTAATATCTCAGAGTCAGCGGTGGGGATCCAATTATTTTCAGTTTGGATACGTCTCCCCTTTCTCAATATCTCCATGTGCATAAATAAGATGAAGTGGCCTTCCGGAATCAAAAGGGCCGAACTCGGAGCACTCGGATCACTCAGATCACTGGGCGGGCCCCTCGGTCTGGGAGTGCGCACCCATCTGTCTCTCCCACGTGGGTACCTCCGGTCCCGCCCCAAGTCTTCCGCCTCAAGTGACATCTTTTGACAGGCTAAAGACAGGAAGGGAGTTCAGGCACGCAGGTGAACTGATAAATAATGACACAAAGAGAAAGGATGCTCCAGGAGGGGAAAGACGGCGTATGGACCCAGTGGAATTGGAGGAAGGGTCGATGTCACTGGGGCTGCTCTCGGCCTCTTCCGTGGACATGAGACACAGGGGCTGCTCTGATTCCCCGAATCGCCACGCAAACAGGCTACCCGCACCAAAATGCCTTGGGAACGTCCCACTGGACTCACATGGGCCAAATGCTGCAACAGAGACACAAAGACGGGGGAGGAGGAAAGGAAAGCAGCACCAGAGGGCTCTGCTCGGTCCTGGCAGGAAACGCTGTTCCCAGCAGTGAAGCCTAAACGCTAAGTGAACCACGGCCAGGAACAGAGAGGACTGACCGGCACGGCGCTGCAGACAGTCCCCAGTGCCCCATGCGTGGCCGAGGGCGAGAGGACGTACAGGTGGACTGCTGAGATGTCCTTGCTGTGTGCTGGCAACGCAGAAGCCCCGATGCACTCAGGACACACGAGGCACTGAGGGGGCAAGAGCACCTGACAGGTGTACCCACGCCGACCGGTTCCCTGTCACACTCATTGGTCCACTCAAGACACTGGCACTTGGCCGTTAATAATCTCCATCCCAGCAAATTCTTCTTTCACACAAAAGAGGATGACTAAGGAGCTTGGCGACTTCTCCCCAGAGCCCACCTATGGACAGCCACACACAGTGTGGTGTGATACACAAGCCCACAGGCTGTGCGTCCTGAGTTCTGCTCCGACAGACAGCAGACCGCCCCTCCGAGAGCCTCTGCAATCTAGCTGATGGTGTCGACTGTTACTCCCCATTTAAAATCAATATTTTAAGTGTGTGCTTAAATGGTATCAATAGCAATTACAGAGGAGAATTCAGATCCCACCGCAGATGAGGTTAATTGTTACGGCATCGACCTCCCGAACATGCTCCTTTCTGCAGATTACACCTCCGTGGCGGAGGGGGGACGAGGGCACCCTCTCCCCTCCTGCGACAATGCATTTCCTATCGAGTGCACTGGGAAAAATGGCAGTTGTTGCAGAATCCATCCAAAAAGATTTTTTTTTTCCCTTCCTGGGAGTAATTAAAAGATGCTTTTCTTGACTAATGGTTCCCCGGTTTAGGAATGAGAAGTCAATACGGCTTCACCGCCGTCAGCTTCGATTGATCACAGTGCTGGTGAGGTTTGACCGGCAGATCTCAGGGTGGCTGAGAATCACTGGGACCAATTATGAGCCAGTGAGGCCGACTGACCGGGGTGCGGGGACCGGGAGCACGAGGCCCGCAGGCCGGGCGGAGGCACCTGTTTCCCTAACTCCCTGCCTGCAGGACCAGGCGACTCCAAGGTTCGGTGGTTCTGGGGACTGGATGTTTCTTCGGAGAAGCATCTGCTGTGCTCTGTCCCCCATGGTCCTGACCCCCACAGTGTGTGTGTGGGGGGGAGGGGGGAAAGGAAAGCACACTCCTAATTATATCCCACTGTCAAAATGAATCCTCTGAACAAGCTTGAAAGGACCAGAGCATCTCAAGAAAACAGCTGGGTCCCTTTTCAAAGAATTAGATGGCTACATGGCACTGGGGTCTTCCTTGGCTAGAGATAAACATTTACTAAAAAATCTTTTAGGATGACATTAGGGCCACATGAAAGACCCCTCCAGCTGTTCGTTCTGACCATCATGGGTTCCGCGGAGACCAAAGGGGGTGAATTGGGGGGGGGGGGTCTCCTTCCTGTCTTGGAGAGGCAGGATCCAGACCGAATCACAGACGGGAGTCCACCTGGAAATTCTAGCCCAGACCTTGGTGTCTGTTAGCAGACACCGCAGGAGGCAGTGCAGGTGGGGCTGTCTGAGTGACTGCGGTGTTCTCACAGGACGGAGATTTTTTCATTTTTCACAGTGTATGCAGGACGGCTTGTTCCCCCAGGGCCATGCCTTCTGATGGCCTCTCTGCCTCATCGCCATCCCTCCCAATGACGCTGCTGCCTGCCTTTGGTCCTTCTGGGGGAAGCAGAACATACACGGAGGCATAAACAGACTCAACAACTCGCCCTCTGCCCACCCCACAAGTGCCGTTATCCACCCTCCCACCCCAAGACTCCCCCAGGCCTTGGCTCTGGCCTTCCCACCCCCCACAACCAGCCCCATGGGAGATGCCTTCCACACTGACTTCCACATTTAACCCATGGGCCCTAGGGCTTCCCACTCATGCCTTTGGCTAACCCCTTCCCCACCCCCAGGCTTGGCTATCACCCCACCTTCCTGAGTCCAGCTCGATGCTGTTTCTGCAGCAGACTTTCCTGGAGCACAGCGGCTATGAGAACCCCTCTGTCCTGTGAACTGGGCCCAGCCCTGGCCTCCTCGTCTGGCCCCAAGGACACCCCTGACCACAGGACAATTACAATAACCATTTGTCACTTCTTTTCTAGGAGAAGGTGGTCCAAGAGTATTTGCTGAATTTAATTAAACACAAAACTCTGGGAAAATTACTAAAGGCACAAAGAAACGTTCAATTCTTATAGGGGCCTATCTTGTTAAGAATGTACAGATTTCTGAATTCCCCAAGTTATGTGGAGACACCAGGTAATTCCCCCCCACCCCCACCCCGCCGTCCCCCAGCCTAGGAGAGGAATTCCAGCTCTGCTCCCTCTTTGGGGAACCGGGATGGGGTTAACGGCAGTCACCCCATCTTCGAGGAAGGAAGGTTCTGATACGTCTCTAAAATAGAAAGATGTGATGTGCATGACACTGGATAGGAGGGAACTTACATGCTCAAGGGCCTGACTCACACACAGGAACTGGAATCCAAAACACCCCCACAGCCAGCACTTAGAGAAGATAACATGGATATCAAGAAGTTACCATTAAAACATCAACCACATCCTTGTTTCCAATCATTCTAAACGCTCCTAAATGTGACCAATGAGAAAACAAACTTTTCACAAGCTCATGATATGAACCACAGTATATACGCTTCTTTTATATAGAAACAGGTAAAATGCAGGGTTTTTTTTTCTGACCCTAAATTTTAAATGTTGTTTTCTGTACTCATACATTATACTCAATCCAATTTCCCCTCATTTTTCATTTTCAGACCTAAATATTTTCCAAGGAAATTATATCCACAAAAAATAGGGATATTAAAACAAAAATTAACCTCTTAAGAATGCTCCTAGTTGGTGACCAGGCCGATTTCCACAATAGTGTTAAGATAAACACACTCTGAAAGCGCACCCTCTGTTCAGCCTGTGAGACACCTGCCCATTTTCATCACCAGCTGCAACTCACCTACCAAGAGCTTGCACAGCAAGCCTCCACCGCGGGAGACACAGGCCCCTCGCACCCGTTCTTGCCCTCCCTCCCACGGCAGGCCTGACATAGGAGTGGGGCTGCCCACGCACCAGCTCGTTCTCCCAGGGAGCCCAAGGTGGCACCAGAAATTCACTCCTCAGCGTTAACGACCCAGAGCCCACCCACTCGGAGCGTGATTGTCGCCTAGCGGAGGGACACACTTCTTGCCTTCACATTGGCCGCCGCTGCTACTTACCTGTTGTCTGATCAACAGCAAAAAAAAACATTTAAAAAGTGCTCGGGTTGGGGGAGACCTACGGCCTCCCTCGGCTTCTCCACACCCCTGAGACGTGAATGCTGGGAGGGAGCCCAAAACCCTACTTCAGAACCGGATGCCCCGGAGAGGGAAGCGTCCGTCCTGCCTCCGGGAACGCGGTTCCCTCAGAAGCCGCCGTCCTATTGCCTCTCAGGTGCATTAAATATGCATGTGTGCTCATAAACGGTTTATCATAGCTGCGAAAGAAAGATGAGAAACTAAATGGCCTCAAAATAAATGCGATTTTTACACTGGGTAACAATTAACATTAATGAGGGGTCACCATACATTATGCCAAATTTGTCTGATTAAACGCGTGAGAAATATGTTTTAGGAAATAAAACATATTTTGTTACCATAAACTTGCTTATTTTGTGTGTGTTTGTCAATTGAGTAGATGCTTACCACAGATCTAAAAATAACAAAACTGAAGAATCAGAAATTTATAATTGGTGTTAATGGCGCAGCGTACGCTTGTTAGCAACGTATTAATTAAAGTGATGCATTCATAAGTTTAGAAGCTTAAAACACTTCTAGGAGAGGGAGAGGAATCCCTGAGGCGTAAAAACAAACGTAAACAAGGAAGGCGTTTGAATTAGCTGCATCTGTGAAGACCCATTTTAAACACAGACATCTTTGTGCCAGTCTGATCAGCACCCCTGAAGGCTGCCAGGGCAGTTCTAATCGAGTCTCAACTGTTGGCGAGACGCCCCGAAACCACACCCCCTCCCGCGTTCTTACCTTGTGGAGTCCAGCGAGGGCTTCGTCCGCCCCTGGCTGTTCTCCTCCCAGACGCTGTTGGCCAGCTCGTTCCCAATGGACGACATCACCTTGATGAGCTCGATGGGCCAGTCGTCCAGGTCCAGGGATCGAACCCGCGAGAGGTGGGTGCCGAGGTTCCGGTGGATCCCTGAGCACTCGATACACATGAGGGCTCCCAGGTTCAAGCTGGCCCAGTTAGGGTCTGTGGGAAGAAGAGCAGAGGGCCCCATAGGGTCAGACCATCACTGCTCATTCACTGCCCTCATCACTGCTCATTCACTGCAACCAAACCCCAGCTGGTCAGACTTCACAGCCAGACCCCTCCCTGGTGTCTGGCTTGAAAACACTCCCAGGTCTACTGTCTTAGGTGTCTTAAAAAAATTGAACATGTGGGTGGCGACTCTGAAATATCTGGCTTTGGCAAATCCTAGGAACTTCCCACCCAATGGACAATCGCCATCGCTGGCTTGGACAGTTCCTCGCTCTTGCACACTGGCGATGGTGCGATGTTCTGCTCTATAAACAGAGCGGTAGGGAACATCTCGGAAGCTAGAGCTGCCTCTCCCCCCAGCTTAGTTCCTGGAGGGGCACAGTCAAGTGAGGGGTGTCCATGCCATTATGTACGCTGCCAAATAGTTCTTCATCACTCTTTTGATAGGATATCTCCCAGCAGGTTCACCCAAACTGGATGTTTTGACTTAAAAATGACCAAGTCTTTGTCCATGTGTCATCTACTCGTCTCTGATCTTGGCCCCTCCACCTTCCCTTGTTCTCTGAGAAACCACAGCAGCTGGAGCTTGGTGTGCATTGGGCTACGCAACCTGCTGTGTTTGTAACATGACCGTCAAGCTCTATGTTTCTCCCCATAAATGGGCTCTGCGGTAGCACTGACTATTACAGAGCCACAGGAACTAGAAAGTCAGGTGAGGGGGACCACCCAATCCAGCTCCGACCGAGGCCCAGCCCTCCCGGCGCCAACTTACTCTGGGTCTCGCAGTCCACACAGTGCGAGTTCCCTCGGATGTTTCGTATCGACTGCAAGGCCATCGCCTCGCTCTGGCTCGTCAGTCTGGACTGGACATACAAGAAGACACACAAATGCAAGGTATGAGAAGCCTGAGAGAAACATACATATCTACTCATAACATCAGAGAAAATTCCAACAGGTGGTAAGCAAATACGGCAGGAGGGCAATTTCAAACCATTTCTCCTCTTCTGATAGCTTCAGGAAAACGTCCCACTGAGAAGGCGCTGTGAGGGAACCCTTGTGCTAAGATTTATGGGGTGAGAATGACCCCACGAGACATGACGACAAAGGCACGTGTTGGACCCTTTGTGAAGGAACAGGGACAGACTGCCACCTGGGGCACGTAACTGGTTAATGTACTTTCAGGGCTGTGTGTCCACTTGGTGTGAAGAGTAAAGGGTGAAAAACAAGTGTTCTGCTTGTAAGAGAAGGATCAGGCTTAATGGGCATCGTTAAGACAAATGTCATGATTCCTGGTTCTAAGACCATGGCCTCACCACCCTTGATGTCTCCTCTGAAGACTGTCCCAGTTGCTACAATGACAAAGGCACTAGCTTGTGGGGCAGGAAGGAGTGGGAGAGTGTTGAGTGTGGTTCTCCTTCAACTTACACTTGAATGTCTTCGCTAAGCAGATGAAGACAACATCGAAAGAGGAAAAGAACAGGAAAACCTATAAACTACAATATGATCATCACAATTAAGTTTTATTAACATTTTGATGTCTATTTTTGTAGCCTTTTCCTAAGCATATCTATACACAGGGAAGGACTTCTTAAAAAGTCACCTTGTACGTATTGCTTTGAAACCTGCCAGTGTAGACTATTGAGATATTGTCCGCTCTCAATGTCGCCCTATTTTTTCCAACATCAACATTTTAAATGGTTGCACGATATCCCACTTCTAGTGATTTACTTATGACGTTCACTCTGGTGGACATTTAGGTTGGCCCCACGTTTCTCCGTTGTAAAGAGTGCTGACGTTCTGCACACATCCCGGATTATTTACTGGGGACCAATTTCTGGACGTTGAGATGTCTGGTAAAGGAATCGGTACCGTTTCCACTAGTAAGGCTTACACTGCATACATTTAATATGATGGGAAAAGCCAACTACATTTCAGAGGACATTTAGAATAAGCTTGGTTTTTGTTGAAGAATTGTTCATAAGTCAAACTTTCTCATGTCAAACTATCTTCATGCTTGAAATGCTTACCACCTAATAAAGTAATTTAATAATTGCTCCTATTTAGGTAGCACCATGCATTATTGGGGTTTTATGCCTTTGGTTAGATACTCAAGTACTCAAAGTATGTTTAACTGTTTATGTTGGCACCTGGAGAGTGTGTGTGTGTGTGTACACAAGCAGGGATGTGTCGGCTGTCTCTCCCTGTTTCATTTCTGCATCATGTGAATATATGCTTGTCTACACCAGCTATCTACTGAATTATCCACAGGCAGCTACTATACCTTGTAGCCCATTCTCAACTAGTCAGTATTTTGCCCTCAAGCTATTCCTTGTGGGTATTAATTCTATGTGCACACTCGCACACCTACTCACCAATGCCTTCCTTCTTCCCTGCTCAGTGAGTCTGCCAGGGAAAGCACCTGCCTGTGTGTGCACACGGCTAGTGGGAGAAATGGGGCAGCACTTTAAGGCTGGTGAGTGCATCAGGCCCAAAGGTGACGCCTCGAGTTTCACAGCGAGCGGGCAGAAGCCGGCATGGTGAGAGGGAAAAGGCGACGTGCTTCCAGATCCTCTGATTCCCTCTGACCCGAGTCACTATGATTTTGTACCGAACTTAGAGATGTATTTGTTCAACAAGCCTGGCTCTCTGCACTGCCGTTATGAAACTTTGCCCCCCATGTTTGGTGGGTGGCATGCGCCGTGGCTCCCCACGGGCGAGGTGACCGGGACATCTACGTTCGCTCTGGAAGCCGCGTCTGTGGCTCTGACTGGAGCCGGGGTGCTCGGGAGTGAGAGGCAGCGACTCAGCCCACCTTGGTATAAAACCACTTTTAAAAAGAGCAGCAAATTACATTATAATAATAATGACTGGTTTACTCTGGGTAAAGAGGGTAATAAAATAAGACACTCCATCTTTCTGAGAGATACACTCCTTCCCCTGACAGAGCAGAACATAAATCATGGGCAGAAATTTCTTTAAATTGTTACAAATGAAACTGCAGGTCGGTGGGCAATGTCTTTTCTCTTAGTTTCGAGTTGCCTATAGTTTGCAAATGCTTTCCAGGACTCTAAAATGCCCCAGAAAAGGAGTTAAAAAAACATCCTAGCATTAAAACAACGAGGTTGAAGAAATCCCTGTCTACAAAATGCAGGGTGAAGTCATTTAGCTTCTCCTGGCTAAACAAATGCACAGTAACTACCTCTAATTACTGAAAAACAAAAACAAAAACAAAAAAACACATAAGACTTTCTGGCAGAGCTCAGGAAATGGACAACTTCCTGCATGCTCACACACATGTGCTCATGTGCCCACAGGTGTTAGTTTACTTTTGTTTACATCTGTATCAAGAGTCCGTGTCTAAGTTGACAGGGACTTGAATTTTGTGCATTTATGAGGACAGACGGGTGCATCTTTTCAGTCTGCATTCTTTTCCTGAGTGTGTTCTGCCTGAAATAAAAACAAATGTGGCCACAGAAGCGACAAGAATCCCAAAGATTCCATCACTTGCAATGAAAAGGTGGGATTTGGGATTAGATGAGAGAATAAATATTTCAACGGGACATATGGCCATAGGAACATGGTTATGCTAGGAGACTGACATGATATTTTATATGTGTTGGCACGAAGTCTTCCCCAAGTTGTTCCACCAGTGAGCTTTTCGCTTAGAAAGAGGTCTAGGGTCTTGTCAGTCATGTGTCATCTGATGCTTTGCACTCACCTGAGCATCACTAGGCCTCCGCACCCCTTTAACGAGCAGCTGCCCTTGATTTTGGGGGGCAGCTCTCTAGGGCCTTACTTTTATCATAAAGATTTTTTAACACTGGTTTAGAGAGAGAGAGAGAGAGAGAGAGAGAGAGAGAGAGAGAGAGAGAGAGAGAAGAAGAAGAAGAAGAAGAAGAAGGAGGAGGAGGAGGAGGAGGAGGAGGAGGAGGAGGAGGAGGAGGAGGAAGGGGAGGAGGAGGAGGAGGAGGAAGGGGAGGAGAAAGAGGAGGAGGAGAAGGAGGAGGAGAAGAAGAAGAAAAAGAAAGAGAGAGGAACATGGATACGAAAGTGACACATTGAGGGGCTGCCTCCTGCATGCCACCCACTGGGGATTGAGCTACAACCCTGGCATGTGTCCTGACGGGAATCGAACCAGCAACCCTTTAGTGTATGGCGCACAGGGTGATGCCCAACTAACCGAGACACACTGGCGGGGGCCTTACCTTATTCTTGCTGCTCTCACATGACTGCAAGCTGGCTAGGATCTGGCTCTCGATGGCTTGGACCCATGCGTCTCTCTCTTCATACGTGGTGGCTTCAAAGTGCCACGTCTGGCCAGTGAGGGACACAATGATAAACTCAAAGTTTTCTTCTTGCTCTGAAACACAGAGGGTTGGGGATGAAGACTTTAGCTTCCATGTGGCCGAGGGCCCTCTAACAGTCGCAGCCATACAAGTGCGGTAGGTTCACGGTTGGCACAGGCAGAGCTGAGTCCACAGACCAGCAGACACTCAGAGAATGGATCTGCAGGCGGCATGGTTCAGCAAGGTCTCCCTCAGTGCCCAGGGGGCGAGGAAAGGAAAATCAGCGTGCGATGGCAGTGTCTCTGTGATGTGCACACAAAGCAACACAGGAACACCCCTGTAACTTGCGCTAACCATCCACACCTGTGGGGCGAAACTAAGTTAAGTGCTGAGAATCTCAGGGTACAGTATCGAGGTCTTTGTCGCATGTGTGTGTAGATCCACAGATGCACCACAGCAGGGAGGGCGCCTGGGTTTCTGTTCTTTTCTGTCAGGAAGTCCCTTCTAGGCTGCCAGGATCCCACTGTCGTCCATGGGTGGCAGTCTGGACCAGGAAAAGTCAGACTTGCATCAGATCCTGCCAGGCCACTTCCCACATTGAGCTCTTTGGGGGAGTCCTGGAGCCTCCCAGCCCCTTTCCTCACCCCTATGGGGAGTGAGGGGATGGGGAAGGGCCACCGGCTTCGAAAGCCAGCATTTCCAATTGGCTAAGTAACATGTGCTAATTCAGGGGACATCCCATAAATGCCGGCATCTGTCCTCTTTCCTCACTACCCCTGTCCCTGCCACAGTGCAAGAGAGGAGGTGGCACATACAGGCAGCAAAACCCGCCACAAACACCTGTGAAGCACTCTCCTGCTGGACTACTGGGTGCCACATCTCATTTGATTCCAAGTTTTCAGTCTCTGGGCTGTGAGCTCATTGCATCGCATCACTGGGTGAGGAGTTGTTATCAATAAGGATAAGAACCCGCCGACCCGCCTTGCTGACCACTGCGCCCGTTAATTATCATCTCAGTTGTCTGCACATGGCCATTCGGCTCATCCGCCTATGGGCCAGCCTCTGCCTCCCACAATCTCCGCTCCTCTCACCCACCCCCCAGCACAACCCCTGACCTTCAGCCCCTGACCTCTGCTGTGCTCCCTGCTGCTCTTGTGTTCTTGAGACCCGACCTCACCAGGAGCCCTCCATCTCCAGACATGGATGCTCACTCAGCTCCTCCCGAAGCAACTACAACCATGTCCGGCCGTCCTTACCTCCTCCCCTCAGTCTCAGGAGGGAGGCAGCCCTTGCTCTGTGGCTGAGAAACCCCTCCCACCTCACTCCATCGACCCCAGGACCTAGGAAGGGTTTGCTCATGTCCTTCCTAACGCCGGCCAGGCCTGGGGAACCGCTTCCCTAAACCGCTGCGCATTGCTATGGAAACCGGGGCGGGACACTGTTGCGTGAAATCTTCACATGCTCTGATGTTAATGGTTCTGTGTTCTGTGTAAAATCAGCACCACTGCTCTTTTAGAAGTTAACCTCCTGGTATGTTGGCCTTAAATCTGTGGCACTGGCTCTGAAGGGTCCCAAATGTAGGGAAGGTGGACACCGCCCCTTTGCAAAACCGTTGTGGGTTCATTTCTCGCAAATTTCCAAGAGCAATAGGTACTGCTCTCCAGTACCCATTCTATGGCTGCCAATCACCTCCAAATCAAGGGCCCCCTCCGCCACTTGTTCCTTTTATTGATACTTCCGGACCTTCCCAGCACCTTCCGTGCCTCTAAACGTTTCCGTCTCTACTTTCAGCAGGTTCAGGTGCTTCTTCCCTCCACGGGGAGGAAACGTCAAAGGCCGCCCCCTGTGCCGGCGAGAACGCTGCTGACCACAGAATGGCGCCCCAGCCTCCTCCCCATGGCTGTAAGAGCAATCCATTGTTCCTTTCCTTTTTTGGCCTAAACCCCTTTTAAAAGTGGCTTCTGTCACCTCCAACCCCAATCCTGACTAATCCATGGAGAAAAGACTCCCCTTGGGAGAGCCTCCAGCCTGCTGCCTGGTCCACTCCTCAGGTCACCACCTGAACCACCTCTAGACGAATCCTCACCAGCACATCCATATCACTGCAGTGACTACTATACTCATCCTGTATACTGTAATAAAGAGGTAATATGCAAATTGACCTTCACACCATAATGCCGTCACAAGATGGTGGCACACACAGCAGAGGCTGGGTTCCCATAACGACAGATCAGCAGGGACCTGAGGCTATGAGGTGCAGGGTTAGGGTGGGGGACCTCAGGCTGTACCCCCCTGCCTGGTGGGACTTGATGGAGAACCTCAAGGCATGCCCTCTGCCCTAGCACTGGGCCAGGGGACCTGAGGCCGCATCCCCTCCTCTCCCCACCTGGCATGCAAAGAGGGAACTGAGGCTGCCTGCCCATCAGTGCCAGAAGGGGGGACCTGAGGCTGTGCCCCCTGCTCTGCAGGGCTTGACAGGGCCCTAAGGCTATGCCCCCTCACCTGGTGGCGGGGCTTGACAGGGGTGGGGCCAGCTGGGTTTGGGTCTCATGCACCTCGGATAGGTGGGGACTTAACTCTGGGTCCTGAGGTGCACCCCACTCTGACAGGAGGAAGATTTTCATATACATTTTACTAATTTTCTTTCATCTCTGACACTTCTATTATAGAGAAAGGGCAAATAGCAATATTAAAATATTTCCTCTAAGTAATTCCCTTTAAATGTGCATGAATTTTGTGTACCGGGCCACTAGTTAGGTAAACAGTAGGAGATCCTGGGACCCAAATACCTTCCCTTCTTCTGTAGAGGCAGCAATTAACATGTTCAAAGAAGAACTATTATCGGCTGGGCAGGCTATTCAGATCACTGATGGACCAGAGGGGTCCCAACACATTTTTAGGAAGCGACTCTGTGACGATATTTTAGTGATCAGCAACTGGGTAAAAAAATGGGGAAAACAATAATTGGCAGCCTGAGGCCAATCAGTCAGGCAGACAGACCGGCATTTTTCTTCTCTGCTGCCCTCACTCCCCACGTGAAGAATGAGTGCTCGGACGGCGAGGACGTACGTTGTCATGTCTCATTTCGAGTGGTTTCATCTCACTAATACACATCCACTCTTAGTGACAATCCCAGCGGCTTATATTTCATTCATTCCGTACAATGGAATTCCGGCTGTAGAAACTTCTGATGGCACCCACGTGAAAAGTGTGTTTCGTAGTTGGACAGACATGTGGGATCCAAGAAATTCCAGGCCCGGACCCCTGATGGTGAGGAATCAAAGTCCCACCACATCCGTGGCCAGAGAGAGAGAAGCGTGCTGTTTCCCAGCGTGACATTCCTGGGCCTGCCCGTTTCATAAAGTTTTGTGATTGGGCTCCCAGGGATTTAAACAGTTTTCCGTGTTTAACGGTTAGCTGTGGAAAGGTCCACTATAATAGTATTTTAGCACCATGAACCTGTCGAAACCAACCTTCCCAATTATTCCCAACGACATTAATAATACCGGATATTACACTAATTGCGTCCAGTTTCTATGCAGACGAGGCCCCGTGGGGCTAATTTCGCCTCTTCAGGGGCAAGCAACTCAGCCATCAGCCTGGTTTCACAAGGAAGCCCTCCTCATTACACGAGGCCGGGCTGTCAAACTTTTTTTTTTTTTTAAAGGTTAATGGGCCAATCAGTCATCCATTATTTTTGCGGAATCCTAGCAAAGGGTTAAAGGGCTCAAAGCAGCTGCAACTGTCCCACATTTGGAAGTTGTTTTCAACAGGAGGTGCCTGACAAGGATGCATTTTGGGGGAGTGGTGAAAGCGGAGAAGAGACAGACAGATGTCTCCGTCTGTCTTCAGGGGGCGTTCAGGGAAGAGGGCTGCCTGGTGCTTTAGCCAAGGCCGTGAGGATCCAGACCTCGTGCCAAACTGGTGCAGGATGGCAAGAGGCAGGCGTGCCGTGTGCAGTGACTGGTCTCTTCTGAATTTAGGACCTGGGTGTGCCTGCAGAGGCCAGCTGTCCAAAGCCTTCGCCAATTCTGGCCCAGGCTCCCTGCACACCGGGGACCCAGATGCCAATGCCCATCCTATCCACACCACTAAGAGTTCTTCCTGACACGTAAGGATGAACAAAGGATGGAAATGCGTCACCTAAACCGTGCAGACAGGACTGCGTTTAGCGTCAAGGATGGACAAGCCCACTTGCAGAGGGGACTGACGGGAGGGAGCCCAGACTCCCAAGCCCAGAGGCTTCTGGTGGTCACCACTGAGAGATGGTCTTAGGATAAGGCAGCTAAGCTGCAGGAAAAGAGCCACCCCCTTTTGTCACAGAATCATGCCCTGATGGATATGTTAACAGCAATGCAAACTTTTGGTGAGGCTTTGTTCTCATTGACAAGTGAGTGTTAGCAATAGGTTTCTCCCAGTTTCTGCCCACATCTCCACGTTGACTTTTTCTTCACGTCCTTGAGGGCTCCCATATGTGGGGTCCAGTCTTCTGCACGCACTTGGTTCCCATGCCAACCCCTAGCTGGGCCCTGCGAACAGGCCACCCTGCCCTCTTCAGACCAGCTTCTCCACCAGGCAGTCCCAGCTGGGCCAGGACGATGAAGGTGTGCTTTCCCCACTTCCTTTGGCTGGGAAAGACATTCAGGCCTGACACCAGGGAGCCTGAGGCAGCCCCAGACCCTTCTTAATCCACCCCTCCAGGTAACCGCTACCTACGTATCACAGTTGGGAACTGAGATGGAAAGTATCAGCGAGGTCTACCACAATGTAGGCCCTATGAGATTACGGGGGGCTACATCCACAGCCCTGGGCTTTTATGCTAATTTTTTTGAGCGATACATTTTGTTAAAATACTTCAATATTTCTTCTTTCAAAGCATGGAATACATAGGCATGTGGCTTAGATATTTTACTCAGCGATAATGAAAACCACACGCATTTACGATGTCAGCCAGAATCCACCGTAATGCAAAAAGTCAGGTTTTATTCATTTTCAATTTCCCTTTCATTTTTGTAGGAAAAGATAAACGTGAAAGAAACCTGAAGAATATGGTTCAAGATCGTGAAGAAGAAAC